TTTGACTAGGCAGTGGAGTTTTTATTCTACAATATCTTCCAAAGACTTTCAATTTCCTCGAGAGGGAATGAAAGGTGATGAATCGACGATAATAATCGAGGTAAACGAGTATCTTGATCTCTATTCTGATCTAGGATTCCCCGAGTTCACAGAGAAAGATGGAAGGCACATCGATTAATCTTGCATTAATCGATGAAATCACAATGAAATCTGTAGTGTAACGCCATTTTTGAAGCAGATAATGCAGGATTCTCGATCACAGTCCACGTTGCTAATTTTTTTTTATTAAAAAACTTTAAATAAAGATGAAATTGTAATACCAAACAATTAAAATCCTTCAAATAAAAATGAAATTGAAAAGTTAAACAATCTCATTTCAAAAAATAAAATATTTAAGTGATATTTTAATATATATTTTATATTATTCTTTAATATATTTTTTTAAATAAAAATATTTTAAACTTGAAATTTAAAAAAAATCTCACCACAACCTTTTGTTTAATTTTATAAAATAAAATAAGATTAGTGAAATTATAATTATAAAATTAATAAAATTTTAATATCATGTTAAATAATTATTCAATAAAAAAATTTTAATTATTAAATAATATTTTAGAATATAATTTATATTATTTTTTTACACAAACAACATCACTTTTTAATTATATATTTTAATTTTTAAAGGCATGTTTTAACTTTTATCATACTAAAGGGATGGAATTAATGTTGAAACTAAAAAAAAAAGCCACCAAAAGTATTATTAATAGAGAAATGATGAAAATAACTATCAATAAAATGATCCAATGATAAAAGTTTAGAGTTAAAATGTTTTTTTTTTGTGGTTTCATATTTAAATTCTATAATTGTTAATATTGATAGCTACTAGAAATTTATTTTATTGTTAATTTTAGAATTTGTAAAAATTAATTAAGATACATAAAAAAATTATTTGTATACTTATGTGAATAAAAAAAATAAAAGAACAAAAATAAAAAATACCATCATGAAGCTGCTTTTGGAGTAGTAATTTCAATAAAAAGAGTCAATTGTTATGATTTGTGGACCTAAATTCGCTGGATAGTGGATATGAAGTGGAAGCACGAGAAAGAATCTTAATCGATGGCAAGGCTAGCTTTTTGTTGGACTTTATTTTATACACTCGAGGTAATACAATACAGGGATTAGCGTGACGGAGTTAGGTCGGCCCGGCGGAAACGTTGGATGGGAAGTCTGAGAAAACACCGGCCGTGCATGAACTCCACTTACAAAGCAGCACGTGTAAGCCCTCGAAATGTTCCTACACATGGCAGCTGAATCATGGGATGGAGGGTTTATTTATATGTGTTTTTTTTTTTACTGCACGTCTTATCTGATTAAATTATGTTAGGAAAATAATCTCGAATCAGCATGTTTTTCTCAAACGTCAATATTTATTTTGTTGACCCGAGTCGGTTAGAGGCATGATTGAAATTGAATTCGAATCCCAAAAGTTCGACGTCTTGATATGGTCGGCAGTGAAGAAGTAAAATCCTCGGGAAGAGTGCTTTCAATCAATTATGTGCTGTTATTGATTTGAATTTTGCCTTTGGCTTCGTGATTCATTGCCATCTCAAATCTCTGCTGACCAGCAACGCCGTCCTTGTAGGCTGAGGATGAGGATGCTGATGACACAAACCATGATGCTAAAATCCTCTGCTGATGCTAAAATCCTCTGCTGTTAGTCTCGTCAAACAAAAAATTAAATATTAGAATCAGACCATGTTAGACAATTGGTTTCTGCAAGATTATGTATTTGATTTGATGCAAATCTCTCTATGTTATGTGCTGAAAACCTAAAAATGTATTTATTTTTGTGTTTAAAAAATATTTTATTTTTTTGTTTTAATTTTTTGATGTGATGTTGTAGAATAAATTTTAAAAATAAAAATGTATTCAATATAAAAACTAGAAAAATCACAAGAAATTAAAAACTAAAAAAAAAAGAAAAACATTGAAAACTCTAAAAATGTAATGAATTGTAAAATATGAAGAAAAAAAATACATATCATAAGCCTGCACGGACAGGGCTATGTCCGTGGAAACAAAATAAGTTCCAAGGACATGGATTTTCGAATTCTTTATTTAGTTACCAGAGTTTATTTTACATCCTCATATGGGTTATTTTATACTTTTTTATTTATTTTCTATGGTTTTTAATTTTCTTTTTAAAAAAATTCTGTATATAATTTGATCTTTTATTTTTTGCAGAGTTTTTCAAGTTTGTTTATCGTTTTATATTTGGAAACTTCTTTTATGGTCCGAGAGACATTTTTTTTCCGGAAACAAGTACGAGGGTATTTGAGAGAAGTTATCGGTGCATGATTTCATATGAAGTGATTTCTTTTAAAATAATATATATATATATGAAAAAATACACACTCAAAATATAAAAGATAAATAAATATTAAGGAGAAGAAAATTTCGCCACAGGCTTTCCAAGGGTATATTTGAGTAATTTTTTTTATTTTTAGATTAATGTGGGTGGGCTTTCCAAGGGTACATGTGAGTAAAAATTTTTTTTTTAGATTAACGTGGGTGTCCGGGCCAGCTTGTACGCACCACGACTAATCCCACGGGCCCTGAAGTTAACGACCATGTAAGCCTCCAGTGACCATCATATGAGCAGCTAAGGACTCGAACCTGAGACCACAGAGGGAGCAAACTCCTTAACCCAAGTCTTTACCACTTGGTCACCATCTAGATGGTTGGTATATTTGAGTAATTAATCCAGCGTCTGGTGGTTTAGCATATTAAAAATAGCTAATCGGTATTTGAAAAGCTGGAGATGTTTACTTTGTTAACTAGAATGATGTAATGATTTTTTCTATCTCTCAACTCAAAAAATTTAATATTGGTTATCAGATGTGTAAAAATCTTTTTACATGGTTCAATTGTTATTTTTAAATTAAATTAAATAATAAGTTTTTCCACGCATTAATTGCATGATAACATAATCAAAATAATACTAGAAGTAACAAATTTAAACTTGATGTGAAGAAGTATGTTTATTGTTGTAATTATATTTGATCAAATATTAAAAATAATAAATAATTAAAATACATGATAGAGTTAAAAAAATACCATTAAAATTAAAAAAAATAAGATCAAGGGATGTAATTTAGTTTTTTTTTTAGTTTTTTTAATTATAAAATGTGCTCATTAACAATTTTATATTTAGATAAATAAAAAAGACGGATCCTCGTGTGTGGTATCAAAGAGCATGTCTTCAAGCGGCACTTACAATGCCTTCTAACATGTAAAATTATTTTTCCTCTGTTTTATTAGAATTTTTTCTATGCTCTTTTTATATTGACGTGACATGTTTTTATTAATGGTTTGGTTTATAACTGTTGGATCTTTATTTAAATTTTTTTTTCTCCCAGAAAATGTAATTTGACCTTCTTTATTGGTGATGGTCTTTAAACCGCAATCATTATTATTTTTTATATTAATTATTTTATTGAAGTTATATTTATTTTTAATTTCATCTTTCAAATTTGATTTATCAATTATTATTCTACAATTTAATTCTTATTTTTTTGTTTTTATTTTTTTTTGGCCATTTTATATATGTTTTTATTGATTTTTTAATTTTATTTTTAAATTCAAACTGATGGTATTATATTTTTTAATATGTTTCTTGTCGTTTTGATTTCTAACTTTTTTCTTGATATTTTGTTAATGTTATTATCATTTTTTTTATTTTTTATGTTAATTCTAACCCTTTTTATTTTGATTTTTTCATAAATTAATTTTTTCTTTTTACTTGCTTTTAATCAAATAAGAAATTTATTTATGTTTCAATTTTGATCATTATTTTTTTAATTTTTTTTTAAATCCTCTTGTATAATTGAGATTTTTTTATTTGATTGATTAAAAATTAGGTTTTATAATTGTTTTTTAGATTTTGTGCTTCATGACTTATATTATAGCCTTAAAAAGTTAACACAAGTTTTTTTTTAAAAAAAAAAACTTTATAGTTATCTTTGTTTTTTTATTGGATTATTCAAATCTTATAATTTTAGTGATGGATTTTACAAAAAAAATCTTAAATTGACTTGATCTTAATTAATTATCAAGATTATAAATTTACCATAACTAAGTTTTTTTTGTTATTTTATTTTATTTTAACATCTAAATATTATTTTTTTTGCATGAAAATATAAATAGGCTCATGAATAAGCATGGGCACCGAAGCTAGTTTCCTACCACTTGACCATGGTTCAAGCATTTGGTGTTATTTAGAGCCATAACGATTAAATTGATTTCAACCATGCCATGCATAATGTATTCATAAAAAAATCTCGAACTATTAAGTAATTAATAATTTCATAAAAATACCATGCATGCTCGTGGGTTTGTTGATAAAATTTTTAATTTATTTTTCAACACAAGAATTTATTAATATTTACAGTATACCTTAAATGTTTTTTTTTTTGAAGATGTCGAGTGTATATTTCCATTAGAACTCAATCAAATTTAAAGAAACAAAAGGAAAAGATCTTTAATTGCTAAACAAAGTTTTGCAAAAGTGCTAAGATTCCCACTAAAATCTTTATTAATCCTAACCTTAAATTCCAGATCGAATCGGATTCTCAGTGTTTTGCTATCCTTTGCAAGCATGTGCTGTCATAGTATTAAACTTAAATTAGGTTAATATCTTGATCATGGATTGGAAAGATTGATCTGAGTAAGCTTTTAAAAATATATTTGTTAAAAAATCAAAATGATATTATTGTTTTTAAAATTAATAGGATGATAATCGAGTTTTTATCACGAAAAATCTAAATCGATAAAGTTATTGGATCAATCTAAATTTTTAACTGAATTAATTAATTATTCTTTTCCAGCCCGAATCTGTACACACTTGTTTAACCCGGCAGGGACAGTTCAAGTTATAAAACAGTGTTTTCTGTGCGTGCACATACGTGGGACTCTCGAAGCGCGAGACGCACAAGGATCCGAATTCCGCCAAACAACCCGCTAATCAACTCACCCAAACGCGTCCCTGCAAATTAGCAATCTGACTGAAAGGGGAAAAGGGTAGATTTGTCACTTAAAAAATGTCCGGACCACGCGGCAATATTCTTGTCATTAGCCACCTTCTTCGATCACGATCACGATAACGACCACGATCAGACGGCCCCTAATAACGAACAAGCCGAACTCCACCTCCACCACTACGCACTTATCCTATCAACGCGCTTCACAAGTCACGACATGTCCCCCTTCACTTTCTTCTACCCTTCTTTTCCTGTAAAAAATATTACATTAATAAGTTTTAAAAATGTTTTTAATATATCTTCAAATAAAAAAAAAATGTATTATAACACCAAACACATGAAATATGAAAGAGGACATGTACGCTGAATCCAATTTAAGTGGATACACATGAAAGGATTTCTTTAGCAAGTACCATGTATGTTCATCGAGATTCAAAAATACTTAATCCATGCCTTTCAGATATCCAACAATACTTGCAATAACGATATTTAATGGTAACAATGAACTTCTCTTTGGTATAATTGTATCTCTAAGAAAATCACTACTCATACCAAAGATAAAGAAAAAGAATCACGGAAAGAATATTACAAAATAATTTCTTACCTGCTTGGTGGGGTCAAAATTTGTTCTTGAGCGGGGGAGAGGATAAACTTCTTCCATGTTTTCACTGGCGAGTGGCTACTGGCTGCTGGCTGCTGGCCTCTCCGTCCACATCAAGTTCTAACCTCATCTAGCATGAGGTCTTCCCCTTAAGAAATAAAGAAAGCAGAAACGTTTTGAATGCTTGACAAGTTACTCTCTGTGTTCTCATCTTCGTGTTCATCGGCCATATAGTTTCTGCCAAAATACCTCTATATCCTTTCCTCATCTTCGTGTTCATCTGCCAAAATACCTCTATATCCTTTCCTCTTTCACCTTCTGAAAATCGTTTTAGATTCGTATATTCATTTTTCGCGTAACAATTATCATGGCATAGATGATTTCATTTTCTCTCTTTCCTTAAGCAGACTAGAAGAGCTAGACAATAACGAAAGCCGTTTTTTCCATTAATGCTTTCTTTATATTTGCTGATGATGCTACCCCACCGCCTTTAAAGAATACACCTTTTATACTATCATTGAAAACCATACATTAGCAATTAGCAATATACTCTATAATCCCATGCGAATCTGTTTTTTTTTTTTTTCAAAAACAATGCCCAGCAACACCACCACATCTTCTGCTACTCCTCGAGACACAATGACCCACTTGGATTTCTTCAAGAAGCTCAAGAGATTGAACCCTCTTGAGCCTTCTCTTGGCATTCTTGGCTTCTTTCTAGTCACCGTACTCCTCATTTGTTGCTTCTTTTACTTGGATTATAGGAGTGTGACTCGTGGCCTTCGCTACCATGGTATCTCCTGGTCTGGACTTGTTGTACCTTCTTCATCAGAATTAACTGGTGGAGATAGTGGACGGCCAGGATTTCTTGATAAGGGTGGTGATTGGTGTGATATTTTTGACGGGAACTGGGTTTGGGATGATAATTATCCTCTGTATCAGAGTCAAGATTGTTCCTTTATAGACGCTGGTTTTAGGTGTTTAGAGAATGGTAGGCCTGATAGCTTCTACACCAAGTGGCGTTGGCAACCCAAATATTGCAACTTGCCCAGGTATTCCTTTCCTTTTTGATCTGTTTAATTGGTTTTTTAAACTTTGAGTTAATTACTGATAAATTGTGGAATTATTGTTGTGCTGTGTTGGGTTGCTTACAGATGAGAAAAGGTTGCTAAATTATAATAGTTGTATATTAGGTTGGGTAGAAAGCGGTTTTTTCGTAATCTTTGACGTTTTCCAATTAAAGCGTTAATTAAATGATTTGTAAGAATGATATTATGGCACATTTCCTGGCAATCAGCACGGAAATTCCTTTCTATTTGGTGTCTTGTTGTCAACTACCTTTGTCCATATCAAATTAGTTTTTATCCCCTTTTTAGGAGATAGACACCACACTTGCTTGATAACTAACTCTAACATAGTTTCACAGAAAAATTGGAAGTTGTGTTTGGCTCCAGAACTTAGAGAATGTGTTTCTTTTAAACACTAGCCAAGTACCTACTTTTTGTGAGAAAATTTATTGTTTAAATGTTTCCTGGTACTAGCAATCTCTTTTCTTGGAATGACAATTACAATTGCTCTGAGAAAAGCTTATCTGAAGCCCCCCTCTTTTCCTTGAGACAGATTCGATGCAAGGTTGATGTTGGAAAAGCTGAGGAACCGGAGGCTTGTATTTGTTGGAGACTCAGTTGGAAGGAACCAGTGGGAGTCCCTCCTGTGTATGCTTGCCACTGCTGTTCCTGACAATTCTTCTATATATGAGGTGAATGGGAACCCAATTACAAAGCACAGAGGGTTTCTGGCGTTCATATTCAAGGACTATAATTGCACCCTTGAATATTACAGGGCTCCATTTCTAATGGTACAGGGCCGCCCCCCTGCTGGAGCTCCGAAAGAGGTGAAGTTGACTTTAAGAGTGGATACATTGGACTGGACTTCCCCCAAGTGGAAAGATGCAGATGTTCTAGTTCTTAACTCTGGCCATTGGTGGAATCATGAGAAGACCATAAGAGGGTCAGTACAACCTATGCAACTAGGTGTCCCCAAGAGCTGGTTCTTGTGTCATTGTGTAGTGTGCATGAAGCTATTTTCAACTTTTGGCATCTTTGAATCTGGAGAATACTAGATTGGAGCATAATAATTATTCCTAGCCTTTTATCCTACCCGGTCTGCATGTATGCATAAACAAGACTATTGGAGGGTAAAGACATCATATCTGATTTTGTACTTTGCACTATAGGACTAGGATATATCATATGAGCTTGAAGATAAATTTTATATAGCCTTTTACAGTAGCTCGTATGCATTTACCTGCAGATGCAATTTTTTCACGGTTTAGCAACTTGGGGTTATAGTGGAAAAAAAACTTTATTATGATGTGGTTTAAGTTGGAAAGCGTGTCTAAGATGGCAATGCATCTGCTCAATTATTGAAAGTTAGGCCTCAAGGTGACAAGTTTAGATGAAGGAAGGTACACAATAGTCTCAATCTGGGGGTGAGAGGGTAAGATAGGATATCAGATCACTCCAACCTGATGACCTGGTTCTTTTGTATGTGTGCATGTGTGTCCAAGTGCACGCACTTTGATTTTTTGACTTTCGGCACTATAGAGATAGGATAAGACCACATGAGCGCAAATAAATTATTATATAGCCTTTTACCATTGCTGGTGAGCTTATATGTGCAGATGTGTTATTTCTCAGTTCAGCAACATGGGCACATGCACAGTTCAACTTGGAGAGGAGAGCATGTTTAATGTGGCCAATGCATCTGCAAATTATAGAAATTTAGGCCCCGTGGTGACAAGTTTAGAAGGAGAAAGTTACATACAGGTTGTTTGTTCACATTTTTTCGATCTGAGGGCTAGAGCCAGAAACATATATGCCTTTTATTTGCTGACGAGATGAGGATGTGTTTCAGTTAGCCATGGATATGGTAAAATTTATCAATGATGAGATTATAGATCTTTTCCATGCCATGGATTTACTTCAGAGTTTTCTGGGACATGCATCTCCCTATTTGAGCTTGAAGGTACCAACATATTGGAGGAAATTCTTCAGTGTTTGTTCAGTTGCATCTGAGATGGCATGTGACATTGTAGATGTAAATGGATTATTATGAAAGGTTGAGCGCATAAGTTGGAATAAAATAAATGCTAATATGAATTCGATACAATTGGTCCATATAGCATGCTTGAACATGGGTGAGTAGACCACATTGGAAGATTATTCTCAATTTGTTAAGCGTGATGACCTATGAGATGTCCCTAGAGTGTGTGAGGGTGGGGAGTTGTCCCAATGAATCCTCTTACCACTCTTAAGCCAAAGTCCAAAGGTGTATCATGTCCGCATTGCTATATCAGTGGGTTAGAATGTGCTTTTAGCCTTCAATTTGAGCATGACATTCAGACCAATGATTGAGCTTGATTTATGGATGAATCAGGAAAAATGCGAGAACATTTTTATCTTATTTTCACTACAGTGCACACAATCACCCACAAGTACCATTTCCTTGCAATGAAACCACAATCTTCTTGTTGCTGCTACCACCAAGTTGACCTGCATTTCATTGCATTATTCCCTCATAGTAACACCATCAGGTGATTTTGCTTTATTTTTTCCCCTAGATTTAACAAAGGGAACATGAAAATTCTGTTTGCATGCTTTTGTCAGTTGTCATTTTATGCTGTACTTCATGTAGGAAAAGGCAAGGACAGAAATCAGTTCATGCTATAATGTTGAAATGATATTTGATCATTGAATTTATGTTATTTATCAGGGGTTGTTACTTCCAAGAAGGGGAGAAAGTAAGGATGGAGATGAGTGTTGAAACTGCATATGGAAGATCAATCGAAACTTTGATTGATTGGCTGCACACTGAAGTAAATATGAGCAAGACTCGAGTCTTCTTTCGAACCTATGCTCCTGTACATTTCAGGTTTCTCTCTCTCTCTGTTTATTTTTTAAAATTTCTGCATGGGAACTCTTTTTTTTTCATGAACATTTCAAAATATATCCAAAAGTTACTCTTTCTCGAATATTTCAACTGTCAGATCTTTCCTGAATGTTTATTTGTCTATATGTACTCTTTTGATTCTTAGTCTCAAGCTTTAGAACAGAATAACTTCCTCCGGAAAACCTGAACTCTTTTCATGCTATAATGTGAACTAACACTTTTCAATTCATGAGTTACTTGAGATGATTCCTTTGCTCCAGAATTGCAATTCCTTTGCATGCTTGCAAATGAAATTTTTTGTGCGTGTTTATCTAATAAATTGGCTGATGTAACAGGGGCGGCGACTGGAAGACTGGTGGTAGCTGCCATCTGGAAAAGCTTCCTGACTTAGGCTCTGTGCTGGTTTCACCAGATTACCGTTTCAAACTATTTTTTGATGTGTTATCAAAACACTCAAATGAATCACAAGTAATGAACTTGCATTTGTTGAATGTGACAAGCATGTCAGCCCGGAGGAAGGATGGCCATGCGTCCTTATACTATCTTGGACCAGGTAGAGGTCCAGCCTCCCTACACCGTCAAGACTGCAGCCATTGGTGCCTGCCTGGTGTACCTGATTCCTGGAATGAGCTTCTTTATACACTTCTTTTGAAGCAGGAGTTGGTTCATGTACAAGATTTAACAGAATCTTCTCAAGCTCCATCTGTGACCACTTAAGAAGTAACCTGTTTGGACCAACATGATTAAAGAACGGCAGTTCATAAATCAAAGGTTGCAGTTTCCTCAAACATATCAGCAAAATCATCATTTGCTGAGTTGGATGCGGTGCTTTGCTTCCAGACCATCCATTTAATCATCAGTTGCCTTAAGCAATCCTTGGCAAAATTTAAGTTATACCATTTTTCAGTGAATTTTGTTTTCTGAATGATCGGGACAGTTCACAGGCATCGTGATAGGAAGGCAAAGTTGATAGTTGAGAAGAGATATACACAAAGGCATGCTTTTCTTTTTGTTATACAAGCTGTATTCCTTGGACAGAACAAAAATAGAAAAAATCCTGATCAGGCCGCTTGTAAATTGTATATGCAGAGCAAATGCTGGAAATTTTACAGTATGAGAAATCCTCAGTTCAGTTTACACACCCTCGGAAGCAGAGAACTTTCAGCCATGGTAATTCTTAAAGAATGAAAAAGAATTCAGGGCGTGCAGATTCTTTAAGCATATATGCTATGCTAGTTTTAGGGGCTTTTATTTCTCTATTGTGCCCTCGAAATTCTTTCGGTTTCTTGACACGGGCATGGAAAAACTCTCAACTTAAGCAAGGCAGTTATGCATTAAGGATTTGGCGGGCCAAACATTCGTACTTCGATACGAAAGAGTCAACTTGTGAGTCATTTGAACCGAAAGCACGGGGCATTATCACTTCACTGTTAGGTGCTCGCTGTGAATCTACCCTGCAACTTGCAGTGTGTATTTATATAATAATCTAATAAGCAAGATGGATCCTGCTATAGCTGATTTTGCGAAGGAGATTGAGGCTAGGTTGGGCTTTGATCATTAACGAGGCAATGCCCTGTCCTTTTCCCCTCTTGAAGTTAATCCATTAGCGTACATTCCTCTAATCTCGATGAAAGGAAACACCACTACATGCTCCCTTGATTTAACAGAAGTGGGTGCCACTGCCGATTTCTGGTCAATCATGGTTGTGTAATTGTCAAATAAAACGCGGAAACATTCACGCACAAACAGGCATAATTGATGCTTTCCACTATTAAGAATCCAAATTTGGATGAACAGGTTCAAGAACGAACAAGAAAAACTGATCTGCCAAAATAAGAACGATAAAAAACTAGAGGGGAGTGGAGAAGAAAAACCTTCGTCAACCAAAACAAGAATGGGGACATCGAAGGGGATAAGAATGGACTCGCTCTATGGGGTACATATATGGTCGACAAAGAAAAATCTCATCTTGTTGAAAGCCATTTTGTTCAGTAAATGGATATTGCTCATATCTAATTGTGCTATCATGGAGCACCGAACGAGCCCCTTTTCGGCTGACAAGTTGCAAACATGACTGTTTTAGCCTCACCAATATATGTTGTGCAGTCTGAACTGGTGAGGTTCTGAATCTGATTACAAGCGCCATGAGAAGCATTAGGATAAGGATAGATGTTGCGGTAGTCGTGCGAACTTTTTTTTTTTTCCTTATAGTTTTTTCAAATGTTTTTTTTATTGATTTCATCCTCCTACTGTTAAATTAAGGTTAGTTAATTGGATCACATTAGTTTTTTCATATTAATTTTATTATTTTTTTAATTTTATTTTTAATATTTTTATTAATAAATTGAATTATTTTTCAATAAGTTAATAAGGTCAAGTCAAAGTTAATAAGGTCAAGTCATGATAACTCCTGTATATTTTACTTTTAAACCCAAATTAAAAAGGAATTTAGATAGGGAGATTTCAATATTGATCTATTATGATGGATTTAATAATAATATTAAATAATTCTTTACATAATTTTTGTTATTTTAAAATTAGAAATTAATCTAATCCACGATATGACACAATCCATTTGACTAGTAACAAAATATACTAAGAGGGAAGAGTGGAATTCATGGTGCTAATTATTGTAGCTCTGGACTTAATGACATCGTGGATTGTAATAATGGAGTTACACTTTTGCCCCCATGATAAAAACATTTGGTCTAATTGATGGGTAAAAAAAAATTATACCTGACAGCTACTAGCATTTTTTCCGTTTTTGTTTTAAACGCATAATGAATTTACTAAGTTGCCTTTGAAGTAAAAAAAAAATGCTTTAACTTAAGTCTAGGGTTATTTTTTTCATTTTCATCTTGGTTTAATCTATTTATTTATTAAGTAAGGTTAGGGAAATATTTATACTTTATTCTATAATAAATATTTTTTTAAAAAGCTGACATGTGCTTGTATATTTCGGTATATAAATGTTGGTCATTATTTTTTAATAACGTGTGCAATGTGATTAAATGAGGATTTTTGGTACCACATTAGATTTATCTCATCAACCCTCCTAACCTTTGATGATGTAAATAATTGATGAATGTCTGGTTTGACACTGACAATCTTTTTTTTTCTCAGTTTTCATACCTAACTTTTTAGATTTTCAAGTTAGTCCTTCAATTTGTGTTTTTCTTTAGAATTAGTTTTTATTGTTTTGATTTTTAATTTTTTGTTCTTGGTTTTTTTATAAAGTTTTGATTTTCTTTTCAATTTTATTCTTCAACCCCAATTTGTCAATGTTGTTTTTTCCACTTTGATCCCTCTTTTTTTTTAATTATTTTCTTCACCTTTTTATGTATTTTTTTATCGGGTTTCAATTCCATACCTCAATCCAAATTTATGGTTTTTTTTTTTTTTTAGCAACCCTCCTAACCTTTGATGATGCAAATAATTGATGAATGTCTGTTTGACACTGACAATCTTTTTCTTCTCAGTTTTCATACCTAACTCTTTAGATTTTCAAGTTAGTCCTTCAATTTGTGTTTTTCTTTAGAATTAGTTTTTATTGTTTTGATTTTTAATTTTTTGTTCTTGGTTTTTTTATAAAGTTTTGATTTTCTTTTCAATTTTATTCTTCAACCCCAATTTGTCAATGTTGTTTTTTCCACTTTGATCCCTCTTTTTTTTTAATTATTTTCTTCACCTTTTTATGTATTTTTTTATCGGGTTTCAATTCCATACCTCAATCCAAATTTATGGTTTTTTTTTTTTTTTTAATTTGATCTTCATTCTTTGATTTTTTTTGTCCTTCTATTAAAGTTATTTTTTCTTTTAATTTCACCATTCAATCCAAAAATTTGTAGTTACCCTCTAATTTATTTTGAATCCTTTTGTATAATTTTTTTTTTTTTAATTTCATCATTTGATGTTTGATCTATAAAGGATCGGGTTTCATAGTTTTTTTTATGCATGATGCTTTCAGTTTAATAACCCGGGTCATTAGTTTGAAGAGTTAATACATGTTGATATTTTTTTTACTTATTTTCATTTTCAACTTCATTGTTCGACATTAGTTTTTTTTAAAAAAAAAATTTGTTTTGTGGTTTTCTTTCTTTTATATATAGTTATCTTGATATTATAACTTAAACGACGTATTTTATAAGATAACTCCAGTTAACTTGTCCCTTATTACCTATGTTATATGTCTATTGTGTTACCTCAAGTTAACTCGGATCGGGTTTTTTAATCTATTTTTAATCCAATTTTGCATTTCTAGTTTTTTTTTAAAAAAAGAAATTTAGTCTATTTACTATCATTGTCAATTTTCTTTATTGCCTAATTAAAATAAAACCAATTTATTAGACTTGGTTGAGAGTACAAATTGAATTATTGATTTTTTTTTCTATTTTAAATGTGCTTGCAACATCTAAATATCATTTTATACAAGAAAAAAATGCAAATCTATTGCATAATATAGGCCCACATCTAGTTTACACTAAGACCAAAAGTATCACTTATAGTGTACATCCTAGAGTTCCAGATAATAGCTGTTACATTTGTATCGTGAACACTTCTAGTAATAATGCACCATCTAAAGAATCCAATAATCACAAGTGCTAATTTTGGAGAAAAAACCCATGTTTTTGTTTCTCATGATTTTATAAAAAATAAAGTTTTTTTGATTTTTCATTTCAACTTTCATTGGTTTCTCCATCATTTTTGCAAAAAATGATTTCAATCCTTATATGATGTAAGAGGTTTTTAAAAATTATTTTTTCTTAATCATTTTTATCCCTTTTAATTTAGTCTAGGAAATTAAAAGATATTTTTAATATTTTTATTTTTCCTCGTTTATTTAGAAAATTTATTGTTTTTTCTTTATTTTTGGATTTCATTGTTTATTTATATTGGTTTTTGATTCTAAATATTTGTAAAACTTTTAGATTGGTAAAATACTTAAAGAAAAATATTTAGTAGTAAAATCTTGAATTAAAATTTATGGTATGACCATATTTGATAGAATTTTATGTTGATGACTCGTGTTGTCTTTTTTATGTTGTTTTTGTCCAAGTCAATTGATATCATAATCCAATGATTTCTTGCAGGTAACTATTTTGTATTGTTGAACAACTATAACTAGAAAAGATAGTCACTGAATAACATGTGTTCATGTATGAAGAAAAGATGAGGTTTTTTCTTAGAAAATAGGCATTTAAGAACAGGTAATAAAAGACATGTTGAGAAAAATTACAAAATTAACATGTCAACTAACTATAATAAACATGCAGATATAAGTTGAAGAATTATGCTGTCGATTAATGAAGTTAAAAAAGAGAAATTTAGAGGATTATGAGGAAAATAATCACATATCTATGACGAGTTTTGAGAATTCGTTTTGGAATCATGAACAAATGAGACAACTTATTGATAAAGATGAGTATTATGGAGATTCTTGGTGATCGTGTTTATGATGAGATGGGTATATATTAATATTCCCAGTCAATTTATGTTATTTAGTTTAATGATAGTCATGTTGATAATAATAACATAAATAATAATAATAATAATGTCATTAATAATTTCCTTGTTAATAAGTTATAGGTTGAGTGTGAAGAGAACATGCTTATTTTTTTTTATTTAAGTTTTATTAACCTATTTTATTATAAATTTACTATAATTACAAAGATAAATTTATTTAGTAGTTATATGTATACATTGCATATTGGTGTAAGAAGTTTGAGGTTTGTAATTCATTATTTTAGAAGCCAGTTGAAGAGAAATCAATTAATTGATGTCTTTTATGCAAAATTTTAAATGATGGGACTAAGAATAATATCTAAAACTATTATACCCTGGAAATGAATGAATAAAAAGTGTTAGAAAGCCTTGATCAGATATCTATAAAATCAAGAAAAGAATAATTTAAACTTAATTGTTAGGTTTTTTAAATCTAGAGAGATTGAGTTAAGAGGTTATGAGAAAAAAATATTTTTATTTATTTTAGAAAATTATATAATATGTTTAATAATTTTATTTTTTAAAAATTATTTAGGTTGTTTTATAGTTTATTTAAGGAGTTATAAGCTTTTAAAAGATAAATTATATCTTTTTAAATAAAAGTTTGTGATGTGATTATATTTAATTGAATTTTATGTGGTTTTTTTTTATATTGTTACTGCCTGCGTAATCGTTCTTATATTTATATTTTATTATATTTT